TATATATATATCGTCACAAACAGAACTGCCCGGTAAACCGTAGGCAGAGAGAGAGAAGAGGACAACAAACGAGGGGCTGTGACAAACTGTTTCGTCGGATTTTATATATATATATATATCCCCCCCTGTCTCTGTGCTCTGTATGTGTTTGTGTGGTGTAATCAAAGTCGCTCAAAAGGATAAAAAATAGAGAGAAAGAAAGGTCGCAACAAGTAAACCCGCAAGCTCTGGACACGTGGTAACGTCGTGGAAGAAATGTATTCTATGTTCTCTGTGTCCATTCCCCACTCACTCTCTTTTGTTTGCTTTTCGTTTTTCTCCTGGGAGTTCACAACACACCTCCCCTGCTACCTCAACACTATCCCTAGCCCACCCTCTACTCGCCTGTCTCAAGAAACAGTAAGGAACCCACAGGACAGCAGTTGCAGGCACCAGGACTGAGCTGGCCAACCCTCTCAGCCCTGGTTGAAGCCACGCCGGAAGAGCCCTGTCATATGGGCAGTTCGGAAGCCAGGCATGATTGTTCTGTACTAGCCCCACGAGCTAACCCATGATGCCCTTCAGAACTCTCGGACCCACCGGTAGTGTACCGCACACATTGTCTAATAAACCTGACGAGGCCAGCGTCTAAGCCTGTGACAGCCAGGGCCTACCCTAAGTACACCCACCTAGCACAACAATTTGTTATGTATGTTAAAAAAAAATTAAGGCTCTCTTTGTTGTATGAAGACAGCCTATCCGTCCATCCAACTGGAGTAGGAACCTCTTGATAGTACCCTGCCTCCATAAGAACCATCTCCTGACACGACCCCAGAGTAGGAAAAAACGATAAAAAGTACTAAAAACCACTAAACCTTTATACAGAAGGAAGATTGCCAGTTGGGCCAAGAGGCCCAGCTCAGTTGGTTGAGCATGTAAGTGGCACACAGGAGGTCGTGGGATCGATTCTCCGCGTCATCCGTTCGATTCCCCAGGACCTCCTGTGGTATGCTTCGGGTTCACCGGCTGAGAAAGTCGGCTTGTCCCTCCTGGCTGGCTGTGGAAGCTGCATTTGACTTTCCAGCTCGTGCCAGGTGTTAGGAGCTTGGGTACTGCTCCCCGCACAGAGCAGAGTTAGGTAGGTGCGGACCCATAACTTTAGGATAGATTAGTTTCGGTTGATAAATTTAATGGTACTGGTTAGCTGGTAGACATAGGTAGTCCTCGTTTGGTGCGCTTAGATATGGGTAGTCTAGTGGGTATGACCCTAAAGGGCCTAAACCCAAGTACTGTCTGAGGTCCTTCGTCGGGCTTCTGGGTAGGACATAGATATGGGCAGCTAGGGTGAGATATATTGAGAGAAGAAAATGGGGTTGTCAAAAATACAACTGTCCCCCATATGAGGAGAAGACAGCTGTATTTTACTATTTTTCTTTTATTTCAAAAAAAAAAAAGGCCGGAACAATGCCGGAGTTACGGAAGTAAGCTTTAGAGTCAAACAGCAGCAAAGAAATTGGTTCAGGGATTGAAGAGCAAAAATACCTGCCCCATGCAGTGCGAGTGCGCGGATCTCTGGAAGATATACTAGGGCCACATTGGGGTGAAGAAGCCACAGCCCACAAACATGCATTACTGTCAAGCGCATGGTCCGTGGACTATGTGATCCGAGAGTCATCAGTTTGCGCAGGAGCTGTCCATATGACAACATGCAAAGAGACATGAAGTTAGGGGAAGAAATGCTTCACTCTTTGTTTTTTATTCTTGAAGTGTTGTTCCTTTTTTTTTTGTTTTTCGAGAGATATGTTTCGCTCCACGTCCACTCAGACGAGACCCGTTCCCTGATTTTCATTGTGATGCATGCAGTCCTCCTTTTCCCTCTCACCTATTTCCCTCTGTGAGATGTAAAGTACTGGTTCTTTCTTTTTTCAGGGTTTTAGCATAGTCTACTCCAGATGGCCATTCAGCAGTTCTAGCATACAACAATAATCTGACAGTCAAGGAACTGAGAGGAGCACGCTGGAAGGAGACCAAAGTCGACTAGTTACAGGAGCTAGCCTAGGCACAACGACAGAATAGAAACAAAGTAGATCAGGCTAGCTTAGGCAGGGTAAGGGGTGGTACATCCTTCCCTTCGGAAGTAATCAATGCCGTCCTTTGGGCCGTCCTACCATAAAGGAGAGGAGCGTGAGTGTGTCATTTTTGTAAACGTTTTGACTTGCCGGTGGAATAGGAACCGGACTGATGCTCCCAAGAATGGAAAAGGAGCCAGAGCCGTAAGGTTCTGTTAAACCACCACTACCTTTCACAGGCAAATGCGAAGTCCATCTAGTAGCCTACTCCTTAAAACACGGGGCTCGGGGCAGGGTTGGAAGAAAAGAAGGAACAAAAAAGAAAAAAAACGAAAGTTCCAAATCCAGGGACGTCGGGGAAGGCCTAGGCCTTTGATGAATGTATCTGGCCACTATGTGGGGAAGGGGCTTGCTTTTTTGTTTTGTTTTGATTTTGTTCCCATGTCGTTTTAGTGCCCTGCCAGCCAGGCAGGGCATATTTCACGGGAGGCACATAACTGTCTCAATGCTGTAGCATCTGTATCCGCCCTCAATCGCAGCATAAAGGAGCTTTTTTTTTTTTTTTTTTTTTT